ATTTTAAAATTTTGTTTCCTTCGTTATACAGATTTTGAAACATTTCAGTCACACTTGGTTAAGAGGTTGGCTGCTAACCAAATGATTGGCAGTTCGAATCCATCAGCCACTCTTTGTGAACACTATGGGTCAGTTCTACCCTGTCCTATAGGGTCGCTATGAGTCGCAGTTGACTCGATGGCAATGGGTTTGGTTTGGTTTTTTATAAACTTTGATTTTTTTTTAATATAATGTGTTTTGTGAGAAATAACATAGGCTGATGAAACATAAAATAAGTTCTGTTAAATGTGAAAGGAAGGTATAAATGTGTAATAACCTGATGACATCTACCAGGGCCTCTAAAGAATGAACGCTCTGAAATATGGATGAGAGTGGTAGCAATTACGTTTGTCAGGTATCTTTCTTCCTTATAGAGCTGAAGGAGGGTAGAAATTACTGAGGAGAGATTTCATGGTCAGGGAGAGGTTTAGTGATTTCATGTGCTACTTATCCTATGTATTCCATCTGTCCTCACATTTTGGTTGCCTTTCACTATTTTTCCTTATTTGACTCTGCAGATGAATATTCATTTCACTTATTTCTGCACATACCACTTGATGTCTAAACTGATGAATAGGACAGTTTGCATGTCTGCATTCACTGTCTATGGAGTAAGTCATCTTCTCTGAGATATTATCTTCAGGAGTACATTTTCCAAAAGTAACTGCCAAATGTACCTGGAGTTGAAATTTTTGGCTTAGACCTTTCTGATTTTGAACTATGAAGGAGTTTAACTCTTGTAATTTATAGTGAGAAGGAGCCCTGGTGGCACAGTGGTAAAAGCGCTGGACTGCTATCCAAAAGATCAGCGATTTGAAACCACCACTGGCTCCACGGGAGAAAGATGTGACAGTCTGCGTCCTTAGAAATTTACAACCTTGGAAACCCTACGGAGTCACTATGAGTTGTAATCAGCTCTACTGGCAGTTGGTTTGGTCACTGGAAATTGTCTTGGGTATGAAATTATCTGCGGTGTGGACTCTAGTTGATTTCTTTTACAGTTTTATTCCTACTAAGATCACTGTCATCTAGGGAGAGTTCTGTCCTGAAAGAAATAGCTGAGTAACTATGCTATTTCATATTTACATCATTTTAAACATCTTTTGCAAGATTTCAATACTGAATTAGACTGCCTATAAAATGAAACTGTCTGCAAAAGCCAAAATATTCTTTCTACTGACTGGTACCTTCAATCTTCTTTGGAACTTCACTACTTCTAAACTTGTTCTGGCCGTTACTTTGCCTGTAGTATTTCTTAAGAGACTAAAATGTCCTGTTAAAAGGTGGGGGAGGCTTCCTTTTCAACGTGGGGGAATCTGTAATTTTTACATTATTTGCTTCCATTCTTCTTAAAAAGATGTTTGTTTAAAAAGTCCATGTAGATGTGGGACTTTGCTTGTTCCAGCACAAAGCTTATTGAACTGCCAATTTATGTTTACGAAGAGCTCCTCTTGAACTGAGCTTACGTTCTGCATTCATTCTGAGTCATCTCAGTTATAAACTAGGTGCCTTTTATGATATATTGTATCCTCAAATAAGTGAACATACCTCACAGATAATTAAAACTTTTTCTATCACGTTACATTAGTTATCTACATTTCTTATTTTAATAAAATCTAATAATGGATCAATTGAAATGGATAGTTATATTAAAATCAAATCAAAACCTATATTTACATAAATTTTAATGAAACCTAAATGTGGTGTATATTTTTATTAGAAACAGAAATGAGTTGTGTTCATGCATAGTTACTGAATACTCTCTGCTATTTGTTGTATTCTCTAACACTGTAAGCCAGAGAGCACTGGAGACATAATAAATACACTAAGGCATTAGAGGTGTTATCATACTATTTCCTTGATTGTTTTTAAAGATCTAGCCCTTTACATGTATGAGACTTGGAACAAATATTATTTCCTAACTTAATTGAAGCTTGGTAAGAGTTAGAAGATGGTAATTATTTTTAAGAAAAAAAAAAAAAAAAACCTCTGTAGATTATGTCTGCCATTTTCCTTAAGAGGAGACAAGATGGAACCCTATCCATTCCTGACATAGAATTGCTACTAACAGGATCTTATAGAACATGATATGATATAGCTCTGTCTATTGAAAAGTTTAGCAATTTTATATCATAAGATAAAAATCAGCACACTGTTTGCCTATCAACTATGAAATATTCCTCTGAAAATCTGATCCTAGATATTGCTATACTTTTCAAGAGAATGTTCTATGTTGTGTATTAGTTCTGGCTGACATAGATACTTGATTTTTGGTTTATCGTATACATTTAGATCCTCTACAGATGAACTGATGTGTTCTAGACAGGAAGTGGTATGTAGGAGATATAGGAATGGGCTGAAGTATCCTTTATATTTGCCTTTGTATCTAGGGGAGTTGGAAATAGGCAAGAATGGAGAGATTTTGTATGGCAGTACACAGAATTTTGCAAGTTTATTGTGAGCCCTGCAACAATCCGATGCATTTTAGTTACTGGTAAGTTTGTTAAATTATGTTTGAAAATGTACACCTTCGAAGATGGCCATCTAATTACTATTACGTCCACCATGTTAAATATAACTTATTTTAAAGATTCTTTGCAAAGGTATAGTATTGCTATTGCATTGGGTTTTAGGTATAAATTAAAAGAACGTTTGTTAGTGAATGCATTTGACTTTTCATTAGTTGTCATGGTTAATACTGAAATGAAATTAACGTTACATGGATACAATAGTCATGTGTTACGATTTTAGAATAATAATAAAAGTAATATCTCTGTTTCTGTAATGTAACTCCAGTGTAGAAGTCTGAGGGAATTCATTAGATGTTTGAGAAACATTACTCCTTCTCACATAAAAGAATAAGAAAGTCCATGGCATCCTAGTAATTTTATATGGTTCTGAATAGGAAGGTGATTTATTGTAAGCAGTGCTTTTTTTCCTGTTCTTTCATGGACTGTGGAGCTTATAGGGAGGCATTTCTTGTCTTTCTTTTTGGCAATGCTAATGTTTAGAAAAGGAGTCCTTGGGTGGTGCAAATTGTTAAGTGCTGGACTACTAACCAAAAGGTTGGCGGTTCAAACCCACTCAGAGGTGCCTTGGAAGTAAGGCCTGGCAGTCTGCTTCTGAAAGGTCACAGCCTCGAAAACCCTATGGAGCACAGTTCTACTCTGCACCTGGGGTTGCCATGAGTCAGAATCGACTGGCTGACACTAACAACAACAGTGTTTAAGAATCCTAGTCATCTTTCTCCCGGTAGAATTCCATGAACAGATTGGGAAATAGTGTAATCTCTATAAAACTGTTTTCTTTATTCTTCTCAATTATTTAGACGGAAGTGTTAGGTGTAATAGTACATAAGCAGTTATTTGTGAGGTGACCTTGACTATTGATTTAATTAATTTAAAATGGAACAGATTGTTTATTAGCTGTGCTTCTCTACAAAAATATTTTAAAAAATTCAAGGGATTCCTCGGTAGTTATGTTTTTCTTGTAAAAGTCTAACTTTGACTTAAGAACAAATAAAAGAATATCATTGATTCATAAGACAGTATTATTTTTCTTTTCTTTCTTTCTGTTTTTTTGGTTTAAAGCAGTAGGGCCAGTTAATATAATTGAATTTTAATTTCCTATAATGAAGTAATTTGTTTCTTGATACCTTTTTTTTAAATTTAGCTGATATCATGTCATCCACCAAACTGTCAATTTTTAAAATAATAGTAATTTTGTTATTAATTCTTGTTATGAGAAATTTTATGATTTGAACAAGAATAGTCACATTATCAAGGAAAGTGTTATTTATCAGTCCTGTTGAAACTAGAAAAGCTTTTTAGCTTTTTAAAGATCGAGCAGAGGGTAGAATAATTTCAGATTCTTTTTAGGATTTAATAATTTTCAAGTTTTCTCATTGCTAAATTTTCTTCATTGCTTAAAAAAAAGTACTTCTGCGTTTGAAATATATTTAGAATTTTGTGGTTTTATCCTTTCTTGTGAATATTAATAAGCAATTTAGAGTACAGATAAAACACTATAAATAGATACTATTTTTATTGCTGATAAAGTTTAGTTTATAGCCATTTATTGTTATAAACTACAGTAAAGATACACAACAAAGGAATATGTGTTTTCTTATTAAGAATAGTATACTCATGTATCAATGCTGCTGGCTGGAAATTGTTGTCCTGTGTAACTCTGTGAAGTAATACATTATTAAAGTTTAATTAAAATGCGATCATTCATTTTTCGTTTGTTTCTTTATTCATTCATTCAACAGACATATCAGGTGCTTGACCTTTGGTACATATCATTGTGTGCTTTTGTCTGTTTGTGTACATTGGCAATTAATTGCCACTTTTCATTTCAACATTACGTAAATTATTTTCTCTGCTCTCGTGAATTTTCCTGAGGGCATACTTGGACATAAGATCAATGACATGCTGCATATTTCTCTGAATTTAAAAAAAAAAAAATGTAAGTTGTTTTTTAAAAAGGCATAAATAAAAAGCTTATATAAAAAATAGGCGTGTTCCTCCAAAGTAATACTGTGTACAGATTTAATATTCCCTAATACGGCATGTTATTAAAAAGAATATTGTGGTAAAGTCTTTACTATGGAGAAGTGACATGCTTATGTGTGTTTCTTATATTAGATTTACTTAACGCAGGGATATGGATAATATGTCTATAGATATACTTTGACGTTTTACTTGTGGGTTATAAAGAAACTATACAGTTGTGACTCAGTTTTTGATATGGAATTTTAAAGGGATAAAACTAGTTTTCTCAAGCTTGTGAGAAAAAATAACCTTGTGTAATGTAAGATATAGTAGTTTTTGTCAGCAGAATACAGACTGGATTTGAATATGGTTATTATCTTTTGCGTAATAAAATAATGAAATGGAAAACTGTGTTTATAATCAGCTTTTTATGGTCACATAATGAAATTCTCTATACTTTATATGCAGTGCTACTCTTTTGGCATTCCTGGTTGAACTACTTAAAAGTTCAGTAGCCATGCAAGAACAGATGCTGGGTGGAAAAGGCTTTTTAGTCATTGGCTACTTACTTGAAAAGGTAAGTGATATACATTGATGGCTCTGTTGTGTGGCTTTTAAAGATGGACAGCTGATAATCATTAACATAAATTTCCTGTGGTCTTCTTTTTCCTTGTGCAGAGGCCAGTATTCTCTGCTAACTCACAGACACTTTTATATGATGCATTTGATCATAAACATAGAAACTGGGTGTTAGTTTTGACTACAAATGGAAACTAAAGAAAAATTATTTCATCTATTTGAAAATTACAAGTATTGTTGCTTTTAAGTTTTATTCTATTTGTTTCTTTGCTGTCCTTACACTCAGACTAAGGTTGTGAGAAATATTATCAATTTAATTTAGTTAAAATGGTTTTACTTTTTAGTTTTTGTCTTATTTTTCAATTATAAGGCCAAAATCTTTATTTTGTAATAACAGAAACCTTGTTTTGTACTCTTTGCTGCTGCTTTTTAATTACAGGACATCATGCCAAAACTGCACGGTACACACAGGCTGTCCCCTGTTTCTAAATAGCCAGCAGGTCATTAGAGAAAGGGCACCAATCGCTGATAACGATTCCTCCACAGACATTATGTTCTTCTGATCAGAGTCTGAACGTCTCAGAGCGTTACAACTTAGAGAGTAGCTTTTGTTACAACAGGAAGCAGACAGCGCACCGGAACAACTGTGGATCCATTTTTGAGCATCCTTCCAACTCGAGAAGTCTGTCTGGGCAGAGATGAGGACTATTCCATGGGCACCTCATTCTGTCCTGTGGGTGAGGGACTTAAAAAGGTAGGGGACTACCTTCTGCAAGTAACCCCTAACCAGGTAGGCCTAGTTAGGTGGGCTGGACACTGGTGCTACTTATACTTCCACCTAGCACCATAGCTGAGGGACCAGAGGTCCCTTGGCCAGCCATTTTTATCCCTCAAAGCCCACCTGGCATACTACGTGGACAAGGATCAGGCCTCAGAGTGTGGGGGGCGGTGGAGGCCTCATCATGCCCCTGCTTTCCTGAGGCCTGTTGCCAAGATGATGAATTGGGGACTCCCAATTCATTTGCACACATTTAGCCTTGCCTGGCTGTTTTGTAAAACAAAGAGCACCTTAATTACTTGGGCTATTTTTAGAAACCAGGGAAAAAGACCAAAGATTAAGACACTGAAGATTTTTACCAACTTCTGCAGTCTGACATTGATCAAACATGCATTCAGGATGCTTTGATAATCACTAGTGATTGAAATGCAAAAGTTGGAAACAAAGAGAAAAGGTTGATAGTTGGAAAATATGGCCTTGGTTATAGAAGTGATGCAAGGGATCTCATGATAAAATTTCACAAGACCGATGACTTCTTCATCGCAAACACGTTTTTTCACCAACATAGATGGTGAGTATACACGTGGACCTCACCAGATGGAATACACAGGAATCAAATGGACTACATCAGTGGAAGGAGATGATGGAAAAGCTCAATATCATCAGTCAGAACAAGGCCAGGGGCCAACTGCAGAGCAGACCATGAATTGCTCCTATACAAGTTCAAGTTAAAACTGAAGAAAATTAGAACAATTAGCCAAAGTATGACCTTGAGTCTGTCCCACCTGAATTTAGAGACCATCTCAAGAATAGATTTGACCCTTTGAGCACTAATGACTGAAGACCAGACGAGTTGTGGAATGACATCGAGGACATCATACTTGAAGAAAGTAAAAAGTCATTAAAAAGACAGGAAAGAAAGAAAAGACCAAAACGGATGTAAGAGGTGACACTGAAAGTTGGTCTTGAACCTCGACTAGCTAAAGCAAAAGGAAGAAATGAAGTAAAAGAGCTGAACAGAAGATTTCAAAGGGTGGCTCAAGAAGACAGAGTAAAGTATTATAATGTCATGTGCAAACACCTGGAGTTAGAAAACCAAAAGGGAAGAAAACACTCAGCATTTCTCAAGCTGAAAGAAGTGGAGAAAAAATTCAAGACTCAAGTTGCAATATTGAAGTGTTCTACAGGGAAAGTATTAAATGACATCTATGCCAGCAAATTTGGAAGACAGCTACCTTGCTAACCAACTGAAAGAGATCCATATATAAGCCTATTCTCAAGAAACGTAATACAACCGAATGTGGAAATTATCGAACAATACCGTTAATACCACACGCAAGTAAAATTTTCCTGAAGATCATTCAGAAGTGGCTGCAGCAGTATATCGACAGGGAACTGCCAGAAATTCAAGCCAGATTCATAAGAGGGCATGGAAAGAGGGATATCATTGCTGATGTCAGATGGATCTTGGCTGAAAGCAGAGACTACCAGAAAGATGCTTACCTGTGTTTTGTTGACTATGCAAAGGCATTCGACTATGTAGATCATAACAAATTATGGATAACATTGCAAAGAATGGGAATTCCAGAACAGTTAATTGTGCTTATGAGGAACCTGTACATGGATCAAGAGACTGTTGTTCAGACAGAACAAGGGGATATTATGTGATTTAAAGTCAGGAAGACTGTGCATCAGGGTTGTATCCTTTCACTATACCTATTGCATCTGTATGCTGAGCAAATAATCTGACAAACTGGACCATATGAAGAACGGGGCATCAGGATTGGAGGAAGACAATTAATTAACAACCTGCGCTATGCAGATGACACAACCTTGCTTGCCAAAAGTGAAGAAGACTTGAAGCACTTACTGATGAAGATCAAAGACCACAGTCTTCAGTATGCAGTACACCTCAATATAAAGAAAACAAAAATCCTCACAACTGGACCGATAAGCAACATAGTGATAAATGGAGAAAAGACTGAAGTTGTCAAGAATTTCATTTTACTTGGATCCACAATCAACACCCTTGGAAGCAGCAAGCAGTTAATAAATCAAAAGATGCATTGCATTGGGCAAATCTGTTGCAAAGGATCTCTTTTAAAGTGTTAAAAAGCAAAAAAGCAAATATGTCACCTTGAAGACTAGGGTGCACCTGACCCAAGTCGTGGTGTTTTCAGTCGCCTCATATGCATGCGAAAGCTGGACGATGAATAAGGAATACTGAAGAAGAGTCGACACCTTTGAATTATGGTGTTGGTGAAGAAGACTGAATATAGGATGGACTGCCAAAACAAGGAACAAATCTGTCTTGGAATATGTACAGCCAGAATGCTCCTTAGAAGCAAGAATGGCGAGATTTACATCTCACATACTTTGGACATGTATTCAGGAGGGACCAGTCCCTGGAGAAGGACATCATGCTTGGTAAAGTAGAGGATCAGCGAAAAAGAGGAAGACCCTCAAGGAGATGGATTGACACAGTGGCTACAACAATGGTCTCAAGCATAACAATGATTGTGAGGATGGCTCAGGACTGGGCAGTGTTTTGTTCTGTTGTACATAGGGTCCCTATGAGTCAGAAGAGACTCAATGGCACCTAACAGCAACACCTCAACCCTCTAACCCTATGAAAGCACCAATTTACTTTCTGTCTCTATGGTCTCTATGCGTTTGTCTATTCTTGATATATCATATAAATGGAATCATACAATGTGTGGTCCTTTAGCTACTTTCACTTAGCATAGTATTTTTAAGTTTTGTCCGTGTTGTAGCATGTATCAGTTCTTCATTTCTTTTTATTGCTGGATAAATGGATGTCTTAGTCATCTAGTGCTGCTCCAACAGAAGTACCACAAGTGGATGGTTTTAGCAAAGAGAAGTTTATTCTCTCACAGTCTAGTAGGCTACAAGTCCAAATTCAGGGCATCAGCTCCAGAAGGCTTGCTCTCTCTCTCTCTCGGCTCTGGAGGAAGGTCCTTGTCATCAGTTTTTCCTTGGTCTGGGAGCATCTCAGCGCAGGAACCTCGGGTCCAAAGGACACGCTCTGCTTCCGGCACTGCTTTCTTGGTGGTATGAGGTTCCCATGTGTCTCTGCTCACTTCTGTCTTTTATATCTCAAAAGAGATTGGATTAAGCACTATCTAATCTTGTAAACCTTATCAGCATAACCTCATCACAGTGATAGAGTTTACAACACATAAGGAAATCACATATAACCTCATCATAGTGATAGAGTTTACAACACATAAGGAAATCACATCAGATTACACAATCATACAGTACTGGGAATCGTGACCTAGCCAAGTTGCTACAAATATTTTTGGGGGGACACAATTCAATACATGACAATGGACATTTAGGTTTTTATGGTTTTTGGCTATTATGAGTACTGCTGCTGTGAACATTTATGTGCAAGTTTTTGTTCCTCTTCATTATATACCTAGGAGTGGAATTACTGGGTTACATGGTAACTCTGTTTGAGGAACTGCCAGGTTGCTTTCCAAAGTGGCTGTACCATTTTACTTTCCCACCAGCAGGGCGTGAGGTTTTTTCTCCCCCTACTCCTGTATCTCCAGCACCTAAAGAAAATAGTATGTCTCCATATCTCTGCTTTGGCCCCTAAAGTTTTAGCTTTGTGCTAAAACCAGTCTCCTTTGTGGTCACAAGAAAGATGCCAGAGGGATTTGGGGCTGTAGTTCTTCTCATCCAGGCAGAGAGAGCTCTTCTTTCTCTCATCAATGAACATGAGCCTTCCTTCCAATGTGATTGGTCAGCCTAGGTCTCCGCCTGCCTTTGAATCCATCATTGTTGCCATGAAAATGCTAAACTTTTTTTTGTGCTTTAAGTGAAAGTTTACAGTTGAAGTTTCTCATACAAAACTTTATACATACCTTGTTATGTGATGCTAGTTGCTTTCTCTATAATGTGACAGCACACTCCTCCTTTCCACCCTGGGTTTCCGGTGTCCATTCAGCCAGCTCTTATCCTTATTTGCCTTCTCATCTTGCCTCTGATCAGGAGCTGCCCATTTAGTTTTATGTATCTACTTGAGCTAAGAAGCACACTCTTCACAAATATCCTTTATGTCTTAGAGTCCAGTCTAATTTTTGTCTGAAGAGTTGGCTTTGGGAATGATTTTAGTTTTGGGCTAACAGAGAGTTCAGAGGCCATGTCTTCCAGGGTCCCTCCAGTCTAAATCAGGCCAATAAGTCTGGTCT